CTACAGCACAATTTGACATCCAACTTCTATCTTTCAGAAATAGATCATCTAAGTTTCAGCCTGATTCCTTAGCAAATTTAGCACCTGCATTGTTCATGGCATTTTATTGTATGTGTTTTTCATGATGTAATGCCTTTTATATATATATATATATATGTGTGTGTGTGTGTGTGTGTGTGTGTGTGTGTAATTCCAGTGATTGAAATGATTTATACATAGTTTATTCTGTATCTGTTCATTTATTCTTTTAAATGTTTGTTGATTCTATTCTGTTCTAATTCTAATTCTTTTACAATATAAATTTGAGTTGGCCTAAAAAAATCGACAATAACAAACGTTAGAACATGATAATTAGATCATATCCGCTGCACAATTAATAATTTCCAGATGAAATGATCACTCGTTTTATTTCCTCAGTGTATCATAAGCAATAAACAATTATTTTTTTTGTTAATACACTCATAAAACGGGAAGCAATTGGAATGTAGATATATAATATTATAAAATAACTATATTAATCATAATTACGCCTATAATACTATTATAAAATATGAAATAATATGCAATGCTTTCTTTTATATTGTCATATGTAGAAATAAATACATCTATATTACTATTTATATTAAAATAGAATAATTGGAGAAAAACAACCGGCAAAAACGCTGCATTTTATTATTATATACTGCAATATCGTTTATTATTGACTAAAAAATAAATTCCTCACAATTTAGGTTTTAATAAACGGTCATTTATGAACATATGTTATTCGAGATTAAAGCGTTCTTCTCATTAAATATAGGCTGAATATGACAGTGACGTAAACTGATTCCGCGCGACGAAATATTGAATTTAGACCTTCGAAAAGCGCAAATGCAATTCGTTTAAAACATCTGCTAAATGTCTGTCTGCTAAAAGACAGCGAGTAAAAACAGGTGCATGCGTTTAAAAGCCCCGTGGAAAACAGCGCGGAGGGCTCAATCCAACAGTTGATGTATTTTGTAGATTTTCATTAGCTGGGAAAGATACATTTTGCATCAATAATAGATGCATGCGGTGGTCAGAGGAGGAGAGGACATGGGGAGGGGTTCAATCCTTTTGGTGGAGATAAGAGAGGAGGAGTGGCCGATAGAGGGAATCACTAACGAGCGCGACTCACCTCATCAAAGACGCGCGTGTTCGGACTCCGTCTTGCGCGGCTGTGGCGCAGTGTCATGATACTATGGGTTGCGTGCTGAACTCTACGGGACCAGAGCTGCTATTACAACTGGAGGCTTTGAGATCCACCGCTCAACAACTAGCCCAACTTTATCAACTCTCGGGAAAGAAAAAGGTCAGAAATGCTCTTAACTTCGTTTAACTGTAAATGTAATATTAATGTTAACAATAATAATAGCTGTGTTACACATTGGCCGCCCCTCTTGAGCGGCGAACCGATGCCTTGGCCTACTTTTGTAACACACATTAGAGTTGTCACAACATTAAAGCTCTGAGATGAAGTTTGTGCAGGTTTTTTAGCTGGATGTCTTGATTTGGGAGAGCGGCCCAGATCAGCTGCTGTCGCCTAGCCCTGAGCGCCCTCATGAGGGAGCATGCGGTACTGCGCGTTCGGTGCGTGAGGAGTCTGCCGTGTCTTTCAATAAAGCCGACCGTTCCTTTTTATTTGATCATGATTATTATTCAGGTCGATTTAGTTACGTTAAAGTCTATGTATATTTTTTAATTTACAGAATAAATGCAGGCTGTTTGGAGTGTGTGTGTATATGTTAGAACACAACATATGTGGTTTGTCATCACAATGCGCTCTGGAAGGATTTTAATTGTGTTTAATCGAGGAAACTTTGCAGCAAAACAGCCAACAAACTTGTATTTATGTGCAACAAATAAAATGATAAACATTGGTAAAATCATTTTAGTAGGCTATACACGGAAATGTATAAATGTCTTGCCGCATGTGTAAGTAACACAATATTATTAGTAGTTATGATTTTGTATTTTAAAAACAACCAGCAATTTGTTTCCGTGCGTGTTATCTTTGGTTTATTTTAAATTCAAAACGAAAACACATCAGGACATCAAACACATCTGATTCCGATTACATTGTGTTTAATGCATTTAAAAATGCACATTTTATTTATGTTACTTTATTATTGTACGCTTTAATTTCACCTTTTTATTGCATGTGATGCGCTCCTTTATTTTGTTTGTATGTGTGAGTTTTCATGTATGTCTTGTTGGCCTTCGGTAAATAAATAATCATGAAGCACGCGCGATTTCAGACGCGCTTTGTGTTTAATAATTACTGCAATATCTGTTTATCCTCTCCTTTGTGATTGCTTGCTTTGTGCGTTTTTTATCCGTATTACAACAACAACAAAAAACAAATGAATATTATTGCTTGTACATGTGCTATGTTCAAAATAAAGCTTCATGTCTCTGAAAAGCACGGATGATGATGATTTTAATTTAATATTGTATATATATATAGGCACTCTTTTAAACAAACTCACACAGACCACACTCATTCACCTCTGCCAACAGTTAGTAAGATGCTGTATGTGGCCTGTGCTTGTCTTGTTATACAAAGGTCGGACGATGAAGAAAATATTAAAGTACATTTCAACCCAGAGGCAACTGAACTAGTACTGGCGAATGTTCTACACATGTAGTTTTTTCTGTGGTTCATTACATTTTTTTTTTATATTTTAAAAATAATAATAATAATTTCATAATAATAAAATAGAATAGCTAATTTTTTTACACACATACAAATATATATGCATTGCACTGTACACAGTGGCAGCATTTATTTCTTTTCTTTTTTTACATTTTCTTTAATAGCATCAGTGATCACTTGTAGTTTCCTTATTCAAATACAGAAGTTGGCAATCTTGAAACAAACTCACAATCTTTTCAATCTATTTTTTTCTAAGTGATCTGGTAATTTTGGAATTGAAGCGCAGAGTAGTTGATACAGACTAGAAAATTGCAAAAGCACTGAAGTGTGTCACAGCGCAGCAGTCACTCTCCAACACATGCAAAGGGTTTTATCTGATAGAGATGTGTCTCAGATCTCCCTGCCAAAAAGCCAAGAAGAAAGCTCTCCGAGAGAAAAGAGAGACAGGGACGCCAAAAGATGCAAGCCAGGCTCCGCTCAGACAGATCAATTCAGAGAACAAAAGAAAAGTAATGTAGAGTAGAATGAACATGGTCAACGAAGACAGTCGGTCAGACGAGAGGCTGAGAGAGACAGACAGAATGCGAGCTCTCTACATCTACCTCCGTCTCGTGGCTTATCGGTGGTGGAATTTGGAGTGGAGCTGGAGGAGTCTCGAGGGACCTCACCCATGCTCACAGATTAGCCGCTAAACTGCACATAATTGTGTTCCCCCTACGTCTCTCCAAGAGCTATTAGTTTCCCATTCCCTGTCTTTTTTCCCAACATTCCTGCCTTTGTCGTTAGTGCTACTGATGGGACGGAGAGATAATGTCTCGGATTCTTTTTCTGGCAAAAAAAAAAAATCAGCAGAGAAATTAAATCTTTGATTTTTCTTGACTTCAGTTTTCCCCATAAAGGCCTCTTTGAGGTCACAAGGGCACTTTATTCCAAATACTCGTTTATTTTGCAGGAAGTCTATGAGCATCGCTGTGGAGTGTGTTCTGTCAATATGTGTCTTGATAATGATTGAAAAATAAAACAGAATATGTGGTGTAGACATCATCAGTGCAAGCATTTCATGGGCTTCGCTTTCAAAACATTGAGTCAAAGAATAATGAAACTCATCCGCCTTGGCCTGATCTGGGCAGTGCATGGAGTATATCAGAGTTATCAATGAGTTTAATTTGAGGATGATGATAGCTAATGCATTAGACCTTAGAGTTTCCTTGCCTTTCCATGACTCTAGGGTTATCTGTGGACTTGGCTTTATTGTCAGGATATCAGCAAGGATAAAACAGCCACGCTTTTAGTCATTTAATCCCAGTTACTCCAAAGACAGATATTCAGTCTTATGCATTAGCTTTAATGTTGTTAGTTCAGTTCATTTTAGTGACGCGTTTCAAAATGAAGATCACTTAGAACAACGTGGCAGACAGCGCACCCTGTGGGTTTTCTTTATTTTACAAAAGCACAACGTTTTGTTGTTATGCGTGTATACAAATAAAAGTAGACCCTTTACAGATTCGATTGATGTATTGCTCTGATCTGTACGATCAAATCTGACGGAGTAATTTAAGTTCTTTTAGGGGCTTTAAAAAAAAATTCAACAAAACACGCCGGCGCTTTTGTCGACCCCAGAGGGTTAAATATTTATTGTTCACATAATTTTCAAGGGTTCAAGGTTTTTATATTAATCTTAAATATTTGTTCTGAAACCCTTGTTTCAGATTGTTTGTTATGCTCAATGATATTAATGTTACTACCAAAATTGCATGTTTATTTTAATGTTACGCATTTGATATCTATAAAGAAATATGTGGACACCTACGCTAGACTTAAAATCGTACACATTTCATTACTTTACTGATGTATTTGATGTGCAACCAAGTGGCGTTAGCAAACGAATGCTTCTAGATTCGACTGTTTTTTTTTTAAAGCAGCTGTGTTTTAGTGATGTTTTTGTGGATGTATGAAGTCAGTTCACACAGGTGTCCTATAGAGTAACCACAGGTGCAGTTCATCACATTAACTATGGACATGTTCCACTAACATTACACAACCAGAAAGTGCCAAAATATTTTTGTTTTCATTTTGAACAGTATATCTATTGTTTTACCATTTAAAACCTCTTTTTGTGAAATGTCTTGATGGAATAGTGTGCTTTCTAAGTAAATGAACTTTTTTTTTTGTCATCTAATTTAACGACATTCAGACATTTTTTAATGTGGCTCAAGTGTGCAAACACATTTGGAGGTCTAATTCTGGAGACTGAACATTTTATAATTGAAAATGGCCTTATAATTATTATCGTTGAGCAACTGTGTGATGCCGTCCCCACAGATGAGCAGATGTACCGCTGTGAACACTGTGATGAGCTCTTCACATCAAAGCTGGAGTTACGGCGGCATCAGAAATACTCCTGCAGTAGCAGCAACTCTATCTTTGACTCACTAAGCGAAGACTTCAAACAGGAGCGCGAAGACAGCGATGAGCCGGTGCACGAGTGCAAAGACTGTGAAAAGATCTTCCCTAGCGAGTACAGGTCAGTACGCTCCACCACACTGAGCAAGTTCTAATTACCCACCAAGCTGTTATAATAATAGAACAAAAAAAGTTCAGTTTTGTTCTAATACCATGCTTTTTCATATTTATTTGCATACATCAGTGGTTCTGAACTGGTTTTGCTGTAAGACCCAGATTTTACCTTGTACCAGAGACCCAACACAGAACCAAAATTGTTTATTGCACATGTGTATGTTAAATGTGTATGATAAACATGTGCATGATTAATATGTTTATCTTACAAAAATAAACAAAAATGCCCTTAAAATCAATCATTGAAATTTACTAAAATTACAATGAGCCACATAGAAAAAATTATTAACGTTACACAGACTGCAAACGAAAAGGTCGCCACAAACCATATTTGGCATCTGCCTAATTTGGCTACCAAGTGACAGATGATTTTGGTGTCAAAAGAAGAAAAAAATCTAATCTAAGAAGTGTTTTACCCTTTTAAAAGATAAGCCTGTTTATTTTGCTATTCTAAATGCACATGGCAATATGATTAGTTATATTATTTGCGTTTAGCATTGTTCTTCCCTTGACACAACAGACCAGTTTAGAAGCACCGGCCTACATGGTGGTCACACAGAAAATATTTATGGTGTTCTTATGTATTCTTAGTCTCGGGCAGCACATGATCGTACACACAGATGAGAGAGAGTATAAGTGTGACCTGTGCTCCAAAGCTTTCAACTGGAAATCCAACCTCATTCGCCATCAGATGTCACATGACAGTGGCAAGCGCTTCGAGTGTGAAAACTGTGATAAGGTACGTTATGGTGACTTACTGCAACCACTTATATTTTTAAAAGAGTTAATTAGATTTTATGTGGGAAGTTGAAACATAACGTGCCCCTGGACTAATATTTAGCGGAGGTAAATGTAATACCTTTTACATTCAGGAGTTTGTTTTAAAATGTCATGCAGTGTGACAAATGAATTTTTAAAAAGAACAAACATTCATGTAGTGTCTTGATTAAAGTGAGATCATGAAAACTGCAGAATAAATATTTTAAGAAATAGCCAAATTTAGCTTAAAAATACTTTTTGATTGATGTCACACCACAGGACATGTCAACATTCCAAAAATTGTTCATGTCAACTACCCATGATTACTGCAGATTTAAATATATTATAATGCTAACAGTTCAATCAATTTTCAATAAATTTCATTTCCAAGTAATTGCTCTTACACCATGTTATGTTTACACCTGACACTAAGCTGGCATATTTCTGTGGGTTCTTCAGGTGTTCACAGACCCCAGCAACCTCCAGCGCCACATCCGCTCTCAGCACATCGGTGCCCGAGCCCACACCTGCCCTGAGTGTGGCAAGACCTTTGCCACCTCCTCGGGCCTCAAGCAGCACAAGCACATACACAGCAGTGTCAAGCCTTTCATCTGTAAGTCTGAGCAGTCTTGTCTAAGCCTCAGATACAATTACCAGTGTCCAAAGACCTCCCGGCTAGCTCCACCCCAAGATTGTGACAGCTGTTGTTTTATAGGTCAGAGAAACTAAATGAAATTCTAGAGCCATTCTTTGTTTTGTTCTACATTTGTTGCGTTTTTCTTTAGTGCTTTCTTTTTTTTTTTGCTCTTTTAATTACTCCATTTTACCCTTCTTCTGTTTTTTGTAACTGCATTTTCTTTTGAGGGCCCATTAGGCTTGTATATGGCCAAGGCAGAGGCATATTTAATGTTTAGAGGTAAACGTTTCTGCCGTGTCTTAGCTGCCCTCTTACCAACACTGAGAAAACACCATCTTCTTTTTGCTTGGCTTCACAATGTTCTGTGTGTTACTGTCCAATGTCCAAATGCATGTATGCTGTACCAGTGTACATGTATTTGTATGTATACAAAATTAGTTGAAATAGCTCTACTATTAATGAAGAATCTCATCGAGTTATTAATATGCTAATGGATCATATTTGTATCATATAACATAAGCGTTTTTAGCTCACCTTCAAAACAGAGTAGAATTCAATGTAGAGCAGTAGCCAACTCCTAGAGGTCTACCTTCCTGCAGACTTCAGTTTCAGCCCTTCTCCAGCACACCTGCCTGTAATTTTCAAGTAATCCAAACACCTTGATTAGTTGCTTCACTTGTGTTTGATTAGAGTTGGAGCTAAACTCTGGAGGAAGATAGCCCTCTTGGAGCAGGGTTGGCTACCCCTTGTGTAGACAGTGCCATGTTTGTTGAACATAATAAACAGCATGCACAGTTTATTGGTTGATCTAATCAGCTGCCGGATTATCACTGCTATTGAATGAACACCAAATGAAAACAGTATGCTAATAGAATTAACCAGTCATGTGTGTTCTCCCAGGTGAGGTGTGTCACAAATCGTATACCCAGTTCTCTAACCTGTGCCGTCACAAACGGATGCATGCAGACTGCCGCACCCAGATCAAGTGTAAAGACTGTGGGCAAATGTTCAGCACTACCTCCTCCCTCAACAAGCATCGGCGCTTTTGCGAGGGCAAAAACCATTATAATCCCGGAGGCATATTCACAACGGGCATACCAATGACATCCAGTCCTATTTTAGGCAAGTCCAAGTCTCATCATGGCATGAACCATAGTGGACTTGGCTTCGGTGATTACTTCCCATCCAGGCTGCATCATGCAGGTTTGCCCTTTTCCCCAGCACCCCCTGCATTCCCAGCCCTTTCCCATGGCTTCCCAGGGATTTTTCCCCCATCACTATATCCTAGACCGCCATTGTTACCTCCTAGTCCACTGCTCAAGAGCCCATTTAGTAAAAGTCAAGATGGGAAGCTGCCTCCTCTTGATGCTCCTACTCTTTCTGCGGTCGCATCCATGAACAACAGCAATGGCAATGTAGGGAGCGGTCTCAGCAGCCAGTCAGAGGACAATCGAGAGTCCAAACTGGACTTGTTGTTCCACGACAACAAGAATAAAGTGAAGATGAATGACATGTCTGATGGTAGTGACTTGGAAGATGTGAACACATCTAGCGGCACAGATCTAGACACCACCACTGGCACAGTGTCTGGCTCAGATCTAGAAAGTGAGGCAGAGAGTGAACAGGAGAAGAGCAGGAGGAAACCAGTGCAGGAGAGCAAGCAGGACGAAGTGAGCAGCAGTTTAGTATCTGTCTCCAGTTCAGGGAACCTCCCTTGCGAGCGTCCTTTCCTCTCCTCCCACCATTCCTTTTTCCCACCGCCAGAAGAGCAAGCACTTCCACCCTCCGGGGCCACCACTGACTCCATTAAAGCCATTGCCTCCATTGCAGAAAAGTATTTTGGCTCAGGCTTAATGGGCTTGCAGGAGAAGAAGATGGGCTCCTTAAACTACCATTCCATGTTCCCTTTCCAGTTTCTGCCCAACTTCCCACATTCCTTGTACCCATTCACGGACAGAGCACTCAATCCTGGCATGTTCTTCAAACCTGAGCCTAAATCCCCTCGTGAGCACATACAGAAATTACCTACAGCCACTGGTGCGGATTCACCCTTTGACCTAACCACCAAACCCAAGGAGGTCAAACATCTTCCTCCACCCCCCAGCAAGCCAGCCTTGCCATCCAATACCCCCTTGGCCCCTGGCGAGGAACAACCTCTGGACCTCAGCATAGGCAGTCGAAGCCGAGCCAACCAGAACGGTGGCACACACAATCAGCGCAAGAATCACGTCTATGGCGCAAAATGCAAAGCAGCTAAAGATGAACACCTAGCACTAACTCAGTCCCAGAACTTGCACCAGCCCCAGATGCCTCAGCCGCAAGCATCCCTTCCACAGCCACCTCCTCCCCAGCAGCAGCCGTCACTCCACTATGCCAAGCCCTCGCCATTCTTCATGGACCCCATCTACAGGTATTTCAACCCAAGTAGGTCTTATTGTAAGACCCAACACAAAGACAAATCAAAGCAGTAGCTGGTGATATGTTTAAATTAGACAAGTTATTGAAAAAGTATTGGTACCCAGTAGTTTTTCAACCAAACTTCTTTCGTACGTAACCCTTGGTGCTGTTGTCCAGCAGGGTGGAGAAGAGGAAGCTAATAGACCCAGTAGGAGCTCTAAAGGAGAAGTACTTGAGGCCGGCACCACTACTTTTCCATCCTCAGGTATTCTTTACATACATTTGCCTTACCTCCTCTTGTACATTGGTAAATATTCTGCTCATCTTTGCATTCAAGTACAGCTGAGCATGGCGAGACACTGAAAACACATTCCTTCACCTCTGGTCTGTTTTGGTTCAAGGGGAGCCTTGATGTTTTAAAATGTTCTGACATCTGATGGTATTTATTTTCATTAGATTATTTTCATCATGAAGATAATCTCAAAAGAGGTATTGCTTGTTTTCTGGCATGCTGTGCATTCAAAATTCGTTATCTTTTGCTTAGAAAAATAACCCCCATTGTTTGTGTTAGTATTTTAAACCTTTCCCACCTTTGAACGGTGACAACAATAATGAAAATATTATTAATAATGGCCTTTTGAATTGAAACAAATTATGCCACATACTTGCGTAGTTACCATTGTCTCTGGGAAGTTCTCTATTGAGTCCCACCGCTAATAACTTCCTAGCATGTCTTTCTTGCTCTGGCTGCCTAGATAATGTCTGCATGTCGATCAGGGACTTCCTGTGTTTGTGTGTAATAGAATGGCCTCTCTTGTTGGGAACTGTCTTATCTGACCTGTAAATCTGGCCTCCATCAATGCTGACCTACATCCCCCCAAATCTAAACCTTCTCTCGCTCTTTCCTTTTCTCTTTTCAGTAACCCCCTATTTAATCAAATGTCTCTATTTTGACTTCTACAAGTGGTATAAAGGTTTATCTATCTATCTATCTTATCTATCTATCTATCATCTGACTATTTCTATCTATCTGTCTATCTATCTATCTATCTATCTGTGTCTGTCTGTCTGTCTGTCTGTCTGTCTATCTATCGATCCATCTTAAGTGCTATCTTATTGCATAATATTTTTTTTTTGCATAATATTTTTTTTAAGTATATTATGTTGACTATATATTTGTCTTAAAGCAAATGAAGATCAAATATGTGATTATAATTTTTAAAAGGTATACGCATGAATATCACCATCACCTGTTAATATTCTAAACTAAAACACTAAGGCCCGGTTTCATAGACAGGGCTTAGCCTAAACCAGGATTAGGCCATAGTTCAATTAGGACATTTAAGTAATTTTTATAAACATGCCTTAGAAAAAAGCATTACTGGTGTGCATCTTAAGACAAAACAAAGGCACTGACATGTTTTAAAATCAGTCAGTGCAAGTTTCTTTCAGTTGAAACAACTCAGATTTACATTTTAGTCTAGGACTAGGACTAAGCCTTGTCTGTGAAACCGGGGGTAAGAGAATCAAGGTGATACCGATAAATGTGTAAATAAATTAAAACACACTGTCTGTCTCTGTGTTTATCCATATTCCAAAAGTAGGAAGGATGTAAGCTGTTTTTGGCCATAGAGCCGCATAGCAAACCCTTTGTTCTGCAGCAGGGGAAGTACTATCAGCGAGGGGTATATTAAACTGCATTGTATGGTTACCGCTCATGGAGGTGAATGGCTCATTCAGACGCTTCTCTCAGAGATTTGTTGGGAACAAAGTAGGAGCCGGGGGCTCCCATGGGGCTGCTCGAGTGGCTGCCAACGTGCCATAGGTTAGGGAGGTCACTCTTGAACAGCACAATCAAGACTCGACCTTCTGATATATAACTTCCTCCAGCTTTCCATCCTGTCTGGTTATGATGCAAACTCACAGGCTCTCTGTCAGAGTTCCTCACCAGTGCTGTTATTTTGTTCTTCATGCATCTGCCCTAAACAATTTTTTTTTGTTTTCTTTTTAAGAATGGCAGTACGCTGAGAACAATGTACCTAGTCGGTAATATAGTCAAAAACCTTCCCAGCCTCAGCAGTTTCAGATGTACTGTATGCTCTCATATAAGCAACCCTTCTTACAATTTAATCATTTTTATAAACATGCCTTAGAAAAAAGCATTACTGGTGTGCATCTTAAGACAAAACAAAGGCACTGACATGTTTTAAAATCAGTCAGTGCAAGTTTCTTTCAGTTGAAACAACTCAGATTTACATTTTAGTCTAGGACTAGGACTAAGCCTTGTCTGTGAAACCGGGGGTAAGAGAATCAAGGTGATACCGATAAATGTGTAAATAAATTAAAACACACTGTCTGTCTCTGTGTTTATCAATATCCAAAAGTAGGAAGGATGTAAGCTGTTTTTGGCCATAGAGCCGCATAGCAAACCCTTTGTTCTGCAGCAGGGGAAGTACTATCAGCGAGGGGTATATTAAACTGCATTGTATGGTTACCGCTCATGGAGGTGAATGGCTCATTCAGACGCTTCTCTCAGAGATTTGTTGGGAACAAAGTAGGAGCCGGGGGCTCCCATGGGGCTGCTCGAGTGGCTGCCAACGTGCCATAGGTTAGGGAGGTCACTCTTGAACAGCACAATCAAGACTCGACCTTCTGATATATAACTTCCTCCAGCTTTCCATCCTGTCTGGTTATGATGCAAACTCACAGGCTCTCTGTCAGAGTTCCTCACCAGTGCTGTTATTTTGTTCTTCATGCATCTGCCCTAAACAAATACAAATACAAAAAAAAGTTTCTCAGTCCCAGTTGGCTCCTAAAATCAATTCAAGAGAAGTTTCTGATTAAATGAGGCCCTGAGCTGTGCATCAAACACAGAGTATTCCTCTCTGAACTCGCCTCGTGTTCTCTCCTCAGGTGTCTGCGATGGAAAACATGACTGAGAAGTTGGAAAGCTTTAGAGCTCTGAAACTGGATGCTCCCAATTCCCTCCAGCACTCCTCGCACCACCTTTTTAACTTCCGCTCCCCGCCTCCCTCTCTCTCCGATGCTATCTTACGCAAAGGCAAGGAGCGATACACCTGCAGGTGAGCGCCACTCATGAAACGAGAGTAAACACATCCTTACTAATACATTTAATACTACGTCTTTTTCAACTGGGTTCAAGTAACTTTACATGGCTTTTGGTGTGAGGCCACATAGTCATCCAACACAAACAATATAGCCTAAATCCAACCATTACCAAATACTCCAAAGGTTCATTCCCACTTTTTACTTTTCAAAACATGAGCAACACATTTCACTCATGCTTGACGTTCCCAGACTGATATACAAGTAGATGCAAAATCACACATGGACAGTTTTTAAGTTATGTGATCAGCACATTAGATATCCCTTACGAAAAAGAAGTTTATTCAAGTGTGCTATTAGTATACTTCTTTTAAACTAAAAATAGGAAATTAAAAATATACTTGAACTTTACTTAAGTATACTTACTAAAATAAACTTGAAGTATACTACTTTTTGGTAAGGGATGTTCTTGCGAATTACGTTGCAATAAAAGCATTGCTCATTCTGAGAAATATAACATAGAAACAATGAAAGACATGAGACATTAGAGGCAGCGCGATCAAAAAAGAAAGAAGATTGATTCTGTCTACGCAGATGTTGTGGAGGTAGAGCAAGCTCTGGACAATGTTGGCTGGTAATAGCACCCTGGAGACATCCATGCTCTGTTTATAGAACGGCTTAATTATCATTGATTTGGCTACTAACCAGCTGTGGAAAGTCCTCTATATGAGGGTGATGAGGGCACTTTGGAATCGGGGGGCTTTCACATTTTTAAGTGATATTTTGACCCAGGCATGACTAAGATGTAAGACCTTTACTGCCAAAGGCTTCTTAACAGTCCACTTTCTGAACAAATATAAGTGAAAACAGTAATTTACGAGGGAAAATCTCTTAATCGTGGCGCTTCCAATGGCAAACATCACTGTTACTATTCCTCAGAGTTAGGGATTTCAACAAACCCTTGACCATAAGTAATAAATGTGACGTGCAACAGACATGAATTTTACCTCACATTTTGCCGCGTGTTGAGATGATATTAAACATTTACGATTTTTGCTTAGCAGATGATAAGATGAGAGCAAGCAAGCAACCAGATAGCAACTACCCAGAACCTGCAATGCCATACTATAGCAGCTACAGTTTAAAACACATAAAAAACACCCTAAAAACATAGCAATGTGAACACTCTAGCATCACCTTTTCTTCAGAAAATGTAAAAATGTAGTTTATTTTCTTTAACTTTATTGCATTCTACTGAGAAAAAAAAAATTTGGTAGTTCCGTAACATCTAGCAGTTTCACACACATTTTTCTAAGCGTACAAAAAGGGTCAGGCGGAATCAAACCCCTCTTTGAGTTCTACAAATCTACCATAGGGCCCTGTGAACACACTCGACGAGATAGAGAGCCTCCCGTGGGACACGAGTGCTACATGCCTGGCTCCTTCACAACAATCCCCTGATTAGCTCATTTAGAAACAATTTACCCTAACAAATAGCAGACATCATCAGAATCTCCCCATCTTACTTTCAGCAAAAAAAAGGCCGAGTCAGGTCAATATCAGAGCGGGCCAGCTTCAGGCTTCATTGTAGTAGGTTATTTGCCTGCTGTAGATGCTATCAGCTACTCTATGCAGCGAAATTGGCCTACTACGTCTGACCATTGAAAGACCCCATTCGGATTGTAACGCTTCATGTACAGTCCTTGTAACAGAAAAAAAAGAATTGAGATGATGAAGTAATTTAAAGTCCCTCTGGACCAAGTAATGAAAATAAACAAAATGGGAGGTAGAAAAGACTGACTTAAAAAAAAAAAAGCGAAACGTTGTCTTGGCGTTGTACCATTCTCTATGAACCGTGATGTGCCAAGTCTGGAAAATCGGGCTGTGCAGAAGCGCACACACATTTGCTCGCAAAATAAACTGGAAAATAAAAAGAGGCCTGCATCTTGATTCTGAGCACTTGATGACGAGCGATTTTCCCAAAGCAATTAGCCCTGAAAGTCAACTTTGCTGCGACCGAGGGAGTCTAAGCTACGCCGGCCACCCAACAAAGAAGGCACTGTCCGGCGAACTCCTGACACTGCCTCGCTGCGATTGTTTGTTTATCAGCACATTAAATTGATGTTCTCCTGCCTATTCTGGCTGATCTGACATTGCACACAAGTGAGCTACAGAGAGCCAAACCGTGACTGTTAGACAAGCTAGCACACAGAGGACATCACATATCACATATGTATATATCAAAATAAGGAAAATGTACTTCACTTCATCATCTATCATGTTTACAATTTCATTGGCTGACATGAAGGAAAAACTTAATGGCAACACAATGAGCCATAAAAGGACATAAGGGAGTATTTGTTTTCATGCAGAAATGAAATTAGAGCTTCTGTGTGATATCTTACACTGCTCAACATGCCTTCAAAGCTGTTTGCATTACCTTTGTCAGCCTCTTGGTGGGGTCATTATCAGCAAACATTGTGACAATACAACACGGGATTCATTAGAGTTATGCTAAAATGTGGATCATGTCCAATTTTTCAGAATGTTGAATGCATGCATACAAGCCCCAAAATGGTATCAGTGTGCATGCTGATGTATCCTACAGCTTTTGATTATTGTTTCAGCCCAATAGAAACCTCATATAAAATCCATGATTTTCTGTTTTTCTCCTTCATAGATGTAAATACTGTGACCGTTCATTCAGCATCTCCTCCAACCTCCAGCGACATGTTCGTAACATTCATAACAAGGAAAAGCCGTTCAAGTGCCACCTTTGCAATCGCTGCTTTGGTCAACAGACCAATCTGGACCGCCACTTAAAGAAACATGAACATGAGAATATTCCAGGTAAAATCAACTTGCTTTTATTTTAAATAATTTCTACAAAAAACAAAAATTAAAATTCCAATTGCACCTCAAATCTGTGATGTTGGTAGAAATGTATTTTTTTAACAGTTTAGGTAAATAATATATTTTAAAGATTACCTGAATTTATATTACTGTATTATTTAAATAATGTTTTTCATATTTTTTGGGAAGTGATCAGTGCTAAAAAAATGTAACCAAAATAAATAAATGTGCAGATGATAATAAATATAAAATATAAGAAAATAAATGCTAACGGTATCTGGCAAGAACGCATGCAACTGTCGTTTATAAGGTTTGTTTAGGTATGTTTATTTATCTTATTCGTATTTATTAATGTATTTATTTTTCTACTTATTTCTTGTAGTGAGTCAGCAGTCTGGGATCCTCTCAAATTTAGGAACAAATATTTCCTCACCGAACTCTGAGTCTGACAATCATGCACTTTTGGATGAGAAGGAGGACTCGTATTTCTCAGAGATTAGGAACTTCATCTCCAATAGTGAGCTGAACCAGGCCTGTAGCTCCTCGGAGAAAAGGTACGAGATCGCACACACGCACAAACACACACATGCACAGAATATATTTTGAAGCTATGGCAACAACCTCATAACCTGTCCAGTCAGACAAGCTGGCTCCTGAAGTTACAGTCTGCCCTCTAGTGGAGGACTGTGGTACTGCTGGACTCCAACCAGCCTTGTGTGTGTGTGTGTGTGTGTGTGTGTGTGTGTGTACCCACCCATTACAGACTTCGCCTTCAGTCGGGGCATCTCAATGAGTCATTTCACCTTGTTGAGTTCTGTTCTGCATTAAGCGCAGCCAGATACACATCAGGGAGCACATTCCATCGGCTTATGAAAACACCAAACAAAAGCTCATTACTGCCAAATTCATGAACCGTCAGCACGACTGTCGGTGTGTGGCCAGGTTCACGTTGCTTCAGAGTTTGGTTTAGGTGCAGCGCAGTCTGATTCACACAGACAAATGTGCACGAACAGATCCATGGTCAAAAACACGAATTCTTTTTTAGACACGTAATGGTCCTCCTCAGTTTTTCGGTTCCTCCACACTCCACCAGAGACCCGATGCCTCTGCCTCGTCACTTTAAAGCTCTGGCGTGGGCCGAAACCTCAGACTGCCATCTGGGATCAATAGTCCTGTCCTGACTGGTACAAGCAGGCCTGGCATTTTAATATCTGTAATTCAAATAAGTGCTCTGTTTTGTCTCCTTGCAAATCGCCCTCACAGAAACGCCCGCTTCGAATGGACAGGCAGCTGCAACATTCCCCTCTGCGCTCATGCGTCGTATTTCATGACGTCGTTTGGCCGTTTCCCTCTCGCTTTCTGTCACTCTTGTGCAGCTAGTCTGCATGCATGGTGGAAAGTTTTTTTTTTTTCTACCTTCTTCTGTCTTTTTGACTTTGAAGGAAATAATATAAAATGTCATATCCCATTTGTTTCTCCTATAAAGCAATGGGATTAAAAACATAAAAATGGAGAATTTGGTAAAGTCTCCTGCTTTTCAGGCTGTTCTTTTGAGAAAAAGACTAAAGTCTCACATGTGTCCCTTCTTGAGTTTTTAGAAGCTACTGTATTTCAACAATGTCTCAAACTTAAATGAGACATAACTGAGAACTCAATTATCTGAACTATACAAATATGGCAAAATTTGTCTCATTTAACCTTATTTTGTATTGCTCCTATACAAGGCATTTTCAGAGAAACATTTAAGACATAGTTGATACTCAAATGAGACATAACTGAGAGCATTTGTCTGAGCGATGCTATCCAAAATTATTTAATTAATAAATACAACAATTGTCTCATTTGTCAATAAACAATTGTCCTATTTGACCCTATCTGTATTTCTCCCAAGGGATTCTTGAAGAAACATTCGAGACATAGTTGATCCTCAAATGAGACATAACCTATATATTTACCTATATATACTCTGTATTTATTTCTCCCAATGAATTGCTGGAGAAACATCTGACACAGTAGATACATAAATGAGACATAATTGAGAAATCTATTAGCTGAGCTATGCTATCCAAACTGATTTTATAGCTAAGTACTCTTACTGTGTCCATTGTTGTCTAATTTGAGTCTACTATTATTTCTACTAAGGAATTTTATGAGAAACATTTGAGACA